ACGTTGTCATGCAAACCTATATAGCAACAACATTGAGATGTTGCTTCAGGCAGGTACTCTAGAATAGCATCGAGTCTGAGAATAGTTTTGCAGAGCTGCTTGCGTATTGAGCTTTGCTTATCTGTTACATGGTTATCACCTGTATTGAGCGCGTATTTCTTAGATAAATATTTACAGTTATCTGTGCCAAACTTAACATATATACAGGAAAAGAGTGGCACAGGAAACGGTAGGTCAAATGCAACTACTTTGAAGCTAACGCGGTCTTCTTTACCTCAAAGTCGCTATCCGTTGTACCGCGTACCTCGCGGTAGGCGTTCGCGCTAAAGCCAGCATCACAATTACACAACAAAGACTAAATTACAAAGAAATCCTCCGTTGGTTAGTGAATAGTGCTGTACAGAAGGCTGATGCTTGATAGTGCTCAGTATATAAAGTAGCTTAGTAATAGTAGACACAGGAGTCCTAGGACGGCGGAATAGGGTAAATACATAGTCACTCTGGAGTCTGGACAGCTCTTTTGCCTTATGGCAACAAGCAACAATTTGAAACGTTGCTCAATCTTTTGATTGGCTTACACAGTTTCGAATCTAAACTTATAATTATTAGTGTTGTTTATTCATAGTGTGACTCCCATATGTAGCACAACTTCGAAAAAGACAATCACAGGAGGGCGGAGGCTATTATATGTTGCAGAATAGGCTTTTTTTTTAATAAAATAATACGTAAAATACATGTGTACATATTGTTCCATATATATTTTTTTGGATAAAAATAACCCAAAGCCTTAAAGTCCCAAACTCCAAACTCGAAGTTGTAAATAAAAACAAAAATATTAAAATATTCTTGTTTTATTTTAGGAGGCTATTTATGAATATTCTCAAACATAATATATTCATATATTTTCAATCAAAACAAAATGTACATAAAAGAGCAGACTGCCAGTGCCAGCCCCACCAACAGTCCACCAGAGACAACAAAAAACATCGGGCGGAGGACTGAGGACTAAATGAGTACTCGGGGGAGAGTCTGGAGCCTCTGTGGAGACCCCAGGGATTCTTACTATAGAGGTTGACCCAGAGGTACATTAAATACAAATTTTATTGGTAGTTAGATGACTCGTTATCCATATTGACGAATTATGAACGCGTAATTAATCCCATCCCGATCGGACTATTGGTTCAAAAAGTTACGAAGGGTTACAGTTTGTACTAGAACTGGTCAACTGGGTCAAAAGGAGCCACAGCCCACAGGCCCATACGGCCCCACAGGCATTATGTACAATTACTTTTCTTTTTTCTTTTTTTTAAATTTGTTTATGGGGGGATATTTTTATATGTGAGCGTATTGCAAGTCTGGACTCTGGACTTTGGATGTGTATTCTGGTATTCTCTCCTGGTGTTAAATACACCAGACTCCAGTGTCCAGACTCGCAGGACAAGATTATAACCCCCCATAGACCATTTTTAAATTTTAATGCAATAATATAGTCCTACGGACTTGTCCGTTCTCCCTTAAATTTTACACTTCTAGAGAGGGTCATGATAATATGCTATTTTTAATACCAGAAAGGTCTGTAGGACTTTGTATGGAATACTATGGACGGAGTGAATATTATGCTTACGGGCGGCTAGTTTCAAAATTGGCCCATTTCCTGAGTTCCGAACTTCTCACACAAACTGGAACCTTCAGAAATTTTGAACCAATAGACCGATCGGGACGAAATGAAATAACGTTTATTACTCGTTTAATACGAAGAATTCGAGTCATCTAAGTCTAACCCAATATGTGATTTGTAGTTACCTCTGTGAGGCTCTGGGTGACTGGGTCATTCTCTGAATTGAGGGTTTCTCTCTATGTAAATAATAATAAAATCCCCAGTCTCTTCGTGTCCTCCGTCCGATGTTTTTGTTGTCCGCTCCGGTCTGATGTATAAAAAGTAGCGGACTAGGTACGGGGGCCCTCGGGCGCGGAGGGGGGGAGGGCTATAGGTGGTGGGTCCGACCCGTCAGCCGTCAAAGGTATTAAGATGTCGTAACAGCGTCCTTCTCGATCCGCCATATTTCAGACTTATTTCTATTCCATTTACTTTGACAGGGGGCCATGACATTAGCCCTGCCTTCTTTTTTAGAAGGTTATGCCATAGACTTCTTCTAAATAAGACATCATGAGTGTAAAATAAATTTATGAAGTCTGCTATAGTCGATTCTGTATTTGTATCTAATTTTTATCTAGACTTGCGGAGGACTAGAGATATACTTACTTTGTAGTCATCTCTCTATCCGATTCAAAAAGGGAATGACCACTTTTAATATGTAGTTTGATCACACTGGGCATGTGCAGCACTATCGCTACTCAAGACTTGATGTTTATTACAAGCGACAAAATGGATACTTCGCCACCTTAGGCGCAGCTGTAAGACACCAATGTAATCAAAGTTCCTATAGGCTATTCATACTGGACACTAGAGGGCTTCCTGCTCGGTCTCTCGTTCTTCTTCGGGTTCGAGTTCACCTGCATCCCCGTGGTGGCGAATGCGGTGTTGCCGAAGTCCATTCGCCGATGTAAAAGTCTTATCACAGTCAGTATCTTCACAGTTGTAGGGTTTCTCCCCCGTGTGTGTTCGCATGTGTGTCTTGAGTGTTCCAGATTGTTGAAACGTTCGCGTGCACCCCTCCCAACTACATACATACGGTCGCTCTCCCGTATGTTTAAGATAGTGTGATTTAATGTGTGATTTTCGGGCGAACATCCTATCACAATCGGTCCATGGGCATGGATACGGCTTTATCTTCTCATGCACGCTCGACGCATGTCGCTGCAGGTGCGCATTCTGCGCGAACCTCAAATTACACCCTGGCCATTTACATGCATGATTTTTCACGCCCGTGTGGATCCGATTGTGTTTGGTAAGGCTCCCTGAATCGTAAAACTTCCTATCGCATCCTTCGTATTGACATTCATAAGGACGTTCGCCAGTGTGAGAGCGCATGTGAACCATAAGAGAGTGAGCGGCTGTGAAAGACTTGTCACAGTTTTCCCACGTACACCCGTGCCTCCTTACACCGTTCAAATCTACGACCCATTTGGTGGTGACGCTGTTCTTCGTCTTCTCTACGCGCAACCTACGTCTGGATAAGCAGAGTCGCAAGATGAGAAAAAAAGGCACGTGATGGCTAATAGTCAGTGTGAACGACATCATACATGAATAGTTGGAGCTACCCTCTACACGAGTCGAGCTCAATACAACAAATCAAAACTTACTCGCCTGCACATACAGCAGTCACACATTTACAAATTTGATATGGTGGAGCCATATAAGGGAAGAATGACAGACGTAGCCTATTGTTGGTCTATCCAGCCCTTACTGGATGAAACTTATTTGCTGGAGATGTGGAGGAATACACGAGTATATTCCATTGATGCCAGGCAAAAAGCTGGACTGGCCATGTGCAAAACAAGGACTCTGGAAAAGAGGTGCGGAAGCAGCCATAAATAGTTAAATACACAAAGAGGTGTATCTATTAAAAACGAGTGTTTATTGTTCCATTACCACCTACATCCAAAACAAAATATCCAGTGCATCCCACCAACGATACGCTCATGCCACGTTTTTCTCAAAGTCATATATGCTAGTATACTCTATTGACGTCAAGCACGATGCTGGACAGGTGTGAAAAAAAGCCTCTGATGAAATAGGGACGGAAGCGGCCATAAATGCACTAAAGAAAGTGTGTGATACATATCAGCGTTTCGTCTCCCCATAAATACACACAGAAGAACCCTACAATACAATTCGCAACAGCAGTATTCTTTGACACTTAATGCTTATATTACCCATGAGGCGAGACACACTATGGGTCACATCTGCGCGACCATACTACCAATCTAAAAATCAAAAACGTATTTTACGAAGCCGGCGATTCCCTATATCTCAGCTACAAATCAAATGTGTCTAAGTAATCAAGAATTATACTAAGATCACAATCGCATCTAAATACATACCTACTAACAGGGACATCCCTTTGCACTCTGTTGTTCACATGGGGGGCACTGCTGACATTGGCGGTGGGATTGTATTGTGGTTGACCTGTTCCACCCATGTAATGTTGTATGCTCACATGCGAGTGTGTATATGTATTATTACTAGTGTTTATATCATGGTTGGGCGCAGTAACAGTCAAGGCGGTGCTGGTGGGATGATACCCTATTGTGTTTAGAGGCAGTTGGGCAGCCGTTGCAGCGTCTACTGTACCATCCATCAGAAAGGCCACGCAGTCCATTCTGAACCTATATAGATCTGATACTGTCATATCTAACGAAATATTCTCCATTTCATCCCATGATGGAAACACACTCTCGCAAGTGCCTGCTCGAACCTGATACGGCCTATACATCAATAGTGGGCTATGGCTAAGCATAGTGAAAACCCCTACCATCGACACATCTCCGCCCACCTTGAGATATTCTTTAGCCACAGCTGCCTCTACATGTGGTACGTACACTCTCGTGCGCAAGCTGTATTTATTTGTTGTCGGGAGCATTTGCATTTTGCCGCAAGTACATCTACTGATCTACAAAGATTACTTTCTATAGTATGTCCAGTTAGATTATAAGTTCGCCCTATTGTTATGGACAAAATATATGGTGCCCCAAAAAATGTTCTTTCTTCACATCGTGAATATCTATTTAGTTTTGATCTTTTTTTCAAGCGTCAAATCCAATACGGTTTTCAAACAATACAATCTTTAAATTATATAAATTAAACCTATTGTACACCCATTCGTCTATCGGCTAGGATATAAGCTTCTCACGCTTGAGGGCGGGGTTCGATTCCCCGATGGGTAATTATGTTATTTTTAAGATACTTTTTTAAATAGGGAAAAGGGGGATGGGAAGTGGTCTTGACGTTGAATAAGTCCTTGGGGGTGGATACTTCCGAGTAGGACAGTAGTTGCAGATGGTCAGTAAATGATTCTAATTTCATAGATGGAAAAGTCGAAATTACACTGACAGCTGGATATCGGCCAACCCGATAGAATACACTTTGCAAAGGATACGATATACACAAGTAAAAGTATTACTTGTCTGACTTATTTATAACGCAGATTGT